ACCTTGCCAGGTACTGAGGTCAGGCTGTCCGGCCTATAATTACCAGGATCCTCCTTCCCACCCTTTTTGTGAATGAGTGTCACAGCTTCCAGCCACCTGGAACCTTTCCATTGAGCCAGGGCAGTTGGTAAATTATGGAGAGAGGCTTTGCAGCTCATCTGCCAGCTCTCTCTTCACCCTGGTGTGGACCCCATCTGGTCCCATGGATTTATGAAAATCCAAGCAGCTCAGCAGTTCTCTGACTGGCACCTCTTGGACAACGAGGACAATTCTGCTGCCTGACATCATCAACCAACCCAGAAGGACAGCTGTCCTGGGGACAATCCATCTTCCCACTAAAGACTGAAGCAAAGAAGGCATTAAGCACTTCTGCCTTCTCCTCACCTGCAGTTGCTGAGTTCCCTCCCTCATCAAGTAAAGAGCAAATGTTAGTCTTACCCATCCTTTTACCATTAATATATTTGTAAAAGCATTTTTTATCCTTTACAGAAGTCGCCTGAGCTTTGGCCTCCCTAATTTTTTTCCTACATGCTCTAGCATCCCCCTTAAATATTTCCTGAGAGACCTGACCCTCCTTCCAAAGATGATTCATCCTCCTTTTATTCTTAAGTTCCTTCAAAACCTCCTTGCCCATCCAAGCTGGATGTTTACCTTGTCAACTCGTCTTTCAGCACACAGGGACAGCCTGTTCCTGTGCCATTATTAAAGCCATGAAAGTTATTACACAAAGAAAACCAAAAGAATTTTGTCATCTTATATAAGAATTAAGCATCAGAGATCTATTTAGAAGCCTTAGTTGAAACAAAGGAAGTGAAATGTGAAATACATGTAATTAGCAAATCCATCAGGAATTTTCCTTGATATGAAAATTGGGAAAAGACGTAGAAGTGTATGTGGCTGCACATACCATGAATACCATGGTATGTTGGGGCAACAAGACAAGTTTGTCAAAAACAGTTTGTCAAATTAATTTCAAAGTACCTGGACCTCCTATCATATTCGATATGAACATTAATATATTTTTATTATGAGCACAAAGAACAACTGAATATCATAAGTCTGTTGGAATTCTTATCAGGGGCTTATCAGGGCCTGCTTAGAGCTCACAAAAGGTGCCATGAAGCCACATTAAATATTATTAAGGTTAAAAATCTATATCATGCTTTGATGGTTTTAGTATCACAATGAATATTTATAGATCTGTCATACATATTTGCATCAACATTTAAAGTGAATAGTAAACTGAAAGTATTGCCTACCTGAATTTCCCAACTTCTGTTACTTTCTTTAAGCAGCAAGTTTCAATGAAGATATCCCCAATTCTAAAGAGCGATGCAAATCTGAAAAAACAGAATTAGGTTACTATCTGTTATAGCACCTATTCCAAACTATTCACAGTGAAGAGCAATGTAACTTCATAGTTCCAGGAAAAAACAGCTACCAAGAGGGAGAGTCAGGAGTTCCTCCAAAGCTTCTCCTTTGCAAAGCACCACGAGTGTCAGAATGACTGAGCTACTTCCACTTGTGAATGATTTCAAGGATTATAACTATCTTGCTTACAGCACTGCTGAAAGAAACTTTCACTGACTTGTGCACTCTCAGATACTCCTAATTCTTACATTCCAGTATGATTACACACTGTTTAAAATACATAAATAATTTATATATATATATATGTGTGTGTGTGTGTGTGTGTGTGTGTTTGATATAGTTAAATGAAGTAAATAAGGAGCATGGGTACAAAAGCAGTACCTACTTAGTCTTGGCTGCATCCTTTGCTGGGATGAGACTTTTATAACAGCAGAGGTGTGGAAACTGTATGCATGTTCCAATGTTATTTTTGCAAGATTATAGCTAGGTACCTTTCTTAGTGATCAGATTTCAAATTTCTGGTAACACCAGGTAGTTCAGGGAATAATTGTTTTGTACCAGTTCCAAATAACAAAGCAGTTAAATGACACAAAGTGTGTGAGGTTTAGCAAACAAGTTTGTTACTGAATCACGTCCATGACATCTGCTACAGAGTTCAGCAGTTCTCAGTTAAAGGAAGGATAGATTACAAGTACTGCAGGCAATAAGAGAAAAGAAAGACATTCATAAGAGCTGGCTCTGAGTGACAAGAAGAATCACTGCTACTTGAAGTAGCACAAGAATATTTAATGCTGTTAAAACTCTATTCAAAAAAATCTCAACCCAAACAAACCAAAACACCATGGTATCCACAGAACATCTACCTGCAATCATAGTCATAACGGCACAGATATATCAGAAATGGGTTTCAGACAGAAGATGCCATGAGGGAAGCTGAAAATACCAAACAATCTAGTTCATACTTCAAATGTACATATAAAAATAAGATAAATGCAGTAGCAAATTAAATTTCGTACATTTCCTGTGTTGCATATGGCAGTGTTTTGCAGATTTTATTAAAATAACCAAAACAAACCAAAACAGAGCAAAACAATTCCCCAAACAAAAAGTTCCACCTCCCTACCACACTTGAGATCCCCAGTGTTTAACTTTCCTGCTATATGATGAGGCATTTGCTGGCTGACTTCTAGTGGGGGCTTTTTTATCATATCTCAGCCCTTCCTTGCTCACACACTAGGGAACCAAGACTTCTCTTTCTTCTCAGACTGACATAATACAGATTTAGAAAGTAAAATTAAGGGGTTTTTATCTTTACCCATGTTGTTTTCAGAAAATATTGTCGAGAAATTATGGACTAGAAATGAAGAGCTAAGGCAGACAAGAGCAGGTATAACAGACTATAAACGCAGAAAAATGGTTAATGAAAAGAAAAATGTTGTGAAGGAAAAGGGGTAAACTTGTCTGCACAGCATTGCATGTCAAGAGCTGTGAAAGTCCAATATCAGCAAATAAAATCCTTAAAGCTAGAAAGGCAATCGTGTCTTTTTAGAGTAGATGTCAACCTTATGACAGAAGTACCTTTGAAATTTAGCTACCTTCTAGTTTAAGATTCCATGGACAATATCTGATACACAGGAGAAACAACTCATTTAGCTGAAGTTAAATACAGACCTCCTCACTCACATGCAATGCAGCTAAGTGAAAGCAAAGTGGAGAAAGGTTCATATTAGTAAATTCCACTGAGAGAAAACTGCATTATGAGAAATTAGCAAAGAAAACACATTAATAGCACACATAACATCCTAAGCATGTAGAGACCAATCTGTATAAAAATTTTAAATATGTAATAACATTTATACAAATGAGGTAACAGTAGGTATAAGAATATCTGTATTTACAATCTCTAAGCTAAATGTCTTCCTCCACCCCTCTCCTTAAAGAAGAAAAGACTTCAAGACTTTCACTAAACTTCAGCATTAGAAACGTGGGGCCATGCTGTAAGAGCAGCAGGACAGAACAATGAAAGCCATCCTTGTACAGTAACATCTTAACAAGTCAGAAATGAGATGATCTGAACCAGTGGTTGCAAGTCATCATGTCACAGCTATTTAGAATCCCAGATGTATGAATCCTGGAGACTAAACATACATCCTAATGGACAATTTAATTAACAAAATCATTTCTATAAATGGTAGAATTTTGGCTTGAAAGGCTATTAAATGACAGCAGAGTGGAAAAAGCAGTTGTTTGCAGGTACTGCCAAGGCACACTACTTATGCAGCTGTGCCAACTTTCTATTAACTCTCGACAGTTTACTGCAGACTTGCCCATATCACATTCATTTAAAAAGCCAGTTATAACAAGCATTTGTCTAAGTGGTATTATTTGTGTGAGAATCTGAAGCTTTCTGCTTCTCTGAAGCCTTGTTTTCAAGTCTGTATTTCTAAATAGTAATCACATTACTATATACATTACTGATTTGATTAGTTACAAGAAATCATTAATGTTGCATTAGTGATTAACAGGTCACATTAATAGGTGATTTCACTGTCATCCTGATATTATCTGCTTAGATGATTTCTTATTTTACTTAGTCCTTCCCAGCTTACAAGTCACATTAGCTTTTTATGAGTTCACTATAAAATTTGTGTATGAAACAAAGATAAAAAAATGAAATCAACACAGTAAATGAGATATGGGTGCCAGTAGGAAAGTGAAACACATCTATCAGTGTAGTCCTTCCACTGAAAAGAGACATTATTTTAGAGAACCTCAATGCCAAAGCAGTATATTTTAATTAAACAGCTACAAAAGCATCATAAGCATCAACAGAATTGAGAAAATTAGTATTTAAGTATTATAGATTTAAGTATCAAATCCAGAGAGCAGAAGCATTACTGTAGTTCCACAACATTTTCTAAGTTGTTTTCTAATTACACAAAACAGGTTGAAATTTGATACAGAACTTGAAAACACAACACACGTACACTGTAAACTTTAAAAATGTATTCATGCCATAAAGAAGAATATTTTCTAAGCTAAAGAGCCCATGAATTTACAGTTCATGAACAGTTAAATAGCCTGCAAACATTCGGTCCTGTCCACTGGAAGGAAAAAAACAGTGAACTTCAGTAGTTTCACTGTTTTCCATTAGAAGATAAAAATCTAAAGTTTGCATTGGGTTTCACTGTCTTCATTTGAAACTTTTTCATCATTTTGAAAGTTATTAAAAACAGAAATGGAAAAAATGCCAATGATTTATCTTGCACCTAAGTAATTTTTATCTCCATAGACATATACCATATATACACACAGATTTACAATCATCATTCTATTCTAGTCAAAGGCAAAGTCAGATACATACAGAAAATAACAAGACAGCCCATAGAGCATATTTTATAATTTCACTATGAAGCCTGTAACTGGTACAGCAATTAATTACACAGAGCCACAATGAATGGAGTCAGTGAAATGTCAATGAGTTTAGAGCTGTGAATATTTGGCACCAAAATAGACATACAGTATATAACATTAAAGATACGTTGAAGAAAATCATGGAGGTTCATTTTAGTTTCTCCCATTACTATTACAGGGTTATAAATTTCAAATTCAGAGTTCCTTAAGAGGACAAACTAGAGATGGAGTTTACACTTAAGGTATGTTTTTAGCAGAAGGACACTGTTTCTTAAGGAGAAAGATACTTCTTTTCACCAATTTAGCCCTACAAGAGAATTTGGGACAGCAGCTTACTTAAACATACCTCAGAATGCCTTTTCCTCATCGCAAACACTGTTCTCAAGAGATCCTCAGAAGATAGCAACACCAAGACATTTCAATACTTTGTAATGCTTGCATTATCTTGGTTAGCCTACAGAAATTCCCCCAAGACAGAAAAAAAGGCAAATAATTCTCCCAGAATTAGGAGAAGGAAGGAATTGTCAGACACCCAGAAGATGGGTGTCCAGGTCATGTTTATCTGTACTGGCATCAGGCTTTCTATTTCTCCTCTTTCTAATGAAATTCCTTGGCTCATCAGAGACACACATGCCCGCTTTAGAAAATTAACACATAACACTGCATGAACACACTAGGGAGAATACTGAAAAGTACTTTGGGGTTAGAAGCAGAAAGGGCAGAAATTCAGCTACATAAAAGGGTGAAACCTTGTATTTCACTTTAATTAGACACACTGAATTTTGAGTATGGAGAAACTCAGTATGTGTTACAAAGTTTGAGAGGCTAAATCTTTCTAAAGTGGAAGAAGAAGTATTTGTAGATTAGTATTTCTATTATTTTACGACCCTAAATGCTTTTCTTTTTTAATATGCAGCAGAAGGAAGTGCATTTAGTAGCATGCTTTTAAGAGCAGGTACTCTGTTTCCACACCTGCCAATACAGACTTTGAAAACCTGACATGAGTAACTTCACTGATTCATCAGATAAAGGATGTAGTCTACTCGAATTTTTTCTTCAAAATCTAGTATGAGAAATCTGTCTGCTTTAGATCATCCAGGTGACAATCAATCTGTGTGGTACTACAGATCCTGCACCTAACAGAAGCAGACAGGTCAAGGAAATGATGGAATGAAAAAAAAATACCACCCGAAACTACAACAGTTCACTGTCTGAAATCCTACTGACCCTCAAGTTTTTTATTTTAAAGAGCTTTCAAGAGAGATAGTCTAGTGGATGGTAAGTATCCTTCTCCTCAAAAAGCAAAAATGGACCTAGCAAGTCACTAGATATACAAACGACAACACTGCATGTTCAGCCCTTGCAAAAAGAGCCCTGAAAAAGCAGCTTGCTTTCCTAAGGCAAAGATTGTCAAAGCCATCACTGCCCACACTTGCACTCTCAAAAGGAGGCCTGGCATTTTGAAGGAAATATATCACAGTAATAAGCATTATTACTATGACAGATTGTGTACAACAAGTGAATAGCATTGTAAAAACAAAATGCACCAAGTAAT